AATAAAATCTTAAAAAAAAAAAGTGTGGTCTAGGGCGCCTGGGTGGCTCAGATGGTTGAGCGTCTGCCTTCGGCTCAGGTCATGATCTCAGGGTCCTGGGATCGAGTCCCGCATCGGGCTTCCTGCTCCCTGGGAGCCTGCTTCTCCCTCTGCCTCTCTCTCTCTCTCTCTGTCTCTCATGAATAAATAAATAAAATCTTTAAAAAAAAAAAATGTGGTCTATACATATACAATGGGATATTACTCGGCCTCGAAAAGGAAGGATATTGGGGCACCAGGGTGAGCGCCAGGTGGGGCTCCCTGCTCAGCGGGGAGTCTGCTTCTCCTCCCCCTCTGCCCCTCCCCCTGCTCATGCTCTCTCACACACTCTTTCTGTCTCAAATAAATAAATAAAATCTTAAAAAATAAAAAAAAGGGAAGGAAATTCTGGAAACTGCTATAACCTAGGTGAACTTGGAAGACGTTATGCTAAGTGAAATGAGCCAGTCACAATAGGACAAGGATTGTGTGATTCCATTTATATAAGGAACCTAGAGTAGTCGAATTCATAGATAGAATGGTTACCAGAGGCTGGGGAGAAGGAGGAATGGGGAGTTAGTATTTAATGGGACAGAGTTTCTATTTGGGAAGATGAAAAAGTTCTGGAGATGGACGATGGTGATGGTTGCACGACAATGTGAACGTACCCTAATGTCACTGACCTGTACATTTAAAAATGGTTAAAATGGTAAATTTTATGTTCTGTATATTTCATAACAATAAAAAAAGAACTTATTTATTATTATTTATTGAGTGCTTCCTATATGCCCAGCACTAAGTCCTTTCATTGTTTAAAATTCACATAACCCTCATAAAAGTTGTTTTTTTTAAGCAATTTTATTCATCCATTTGAGAGAGAGAGAGCACAAGCAGGGGGCGGGGTGGGGGTGAGGGAGAAGCAGACGCCCCACTGAGCATGGAGCTCGGAGCCGCATATGGGGCTTGACCCCAGGACCCCAAGATCATGACCTGAGCCGAAGGCAGATGCATAACTGACTGAGCCACCCAGGCACCCCAACCCTCATAATAATCTTTAAAGTAGATACCACAGGGGCGCCTGGGTGGCTCAGTCGGTTAAAGTAGATACCACATATAGGCAGTCATCTCTTGGACATCAGCCTTAGCAACATATTTATGGATCTGTCTCCTCAGGCAAGGGAAACAAAAGCAAAAAATACACCACTGGGATGACACTGAAATAAAAAGCTTTTGCACAGCAAAGGAAATGATTAACAAAACAAAAAGGCAACCTAGTGAATGGGTGAAGATATTTGCAAATGACATATCTGATAAGGGGTTAGCATTCAAACTATATTAAAAAAAACTTATACAACTCAACACCAAAAAACAAACAACTGATTAAAAAGTGGGCAATGGGGGCGCCTGGGTGGCTTAGTTGGTTAAGCGACTGCCTTCGGCTCAGGTCATGATCCCGGGGTCCTGGGATCGAGTCCCCCCGCATCGGGCTCCCTGCTCAGCAGGGAATCTGCTTCTCCCTCTGACCCTCCTCCCTCTCATGCTCTCTATCTCATTCTCCTCTCAAATAAATAAATAAAATCTTTTAAAAAAATTAAAATTAAAATTAAAAAATAAAAAAAATAAAAAGTGGGCAATGGGGGCACTGGGTGGCTCAGTTGGTTAAGCACCCAACTCTTGGTTTCAGCTCAGGTCATGATCTCAGGATCATGAGATCAAACCCTGCATCAGGCTCCGTACTCAGTGAGGAGTCTGCTTGAGATTCTCTCCCTCTGCCCCTATCCCCTCTCTATTTCTCCCTAAAATAAATAAATACATCTCTAAAAATAAATAAATAAATAAATAAAAATTTTAAATGGGCAGTGGATTTGAATAGACATTTTTCCAAAGAAGACATCCCATCCAGATGGCCAGCAGACACACGAAAAGATGCTCAACAACACTCATCATCAGGGAAATGCAAATGAGAACCACAGTGAGGAATCACCTCACACCTGTCTGAATGAGTAGTACCAAAAAGACAAGAAATAACAAGTGCTGGCAAGGATGTAGAGAAAAGGAAGCCCTCGTGCACTTTGGGTGAGCATGTAATTGTTGCAGTATTATTTACAATAGCCAAGATATGGAAGCAACCCAGGCACCAGGGTGGCTCAGTCAGTTAAGCGTCTGCCTTTGGCTCAGGTCATGATCCCGGGGGCCTGGGATTGAGCCCTGCCTCAGGCTCTCCACTCGGCAAGGAGTCTGCTTCTCCCTCTCCCTTTGTGATCTCTCTCGCTTTTGCTCTCTCTCAAATCAATCAATAAATAAAATCTTAAAAAAAAAAAAAAAAAGATATGGAAGAGCCCAAGTGTCCATCCATAGATACATGGATAGAGAAGATGTGGTGTACATACACAGTGGAATATTACTCAGCCATAAAAAAGAATCTTGCCATTTTTGACAATATGGGTGGACCTAGAGGGTATTACGCTGAGTGAAATATGTCAAAGAAAAACAAATACTATTTGATTTCACTTATATGTGGAATCTAGAAACAAAACAAACAAACAACAACAACAACAACAAACCAGAAGCAGACTCATAAACACAGAGAACAATAAAAAAAGAAAAGAAGGGGCGCCTGGGTGGCTCAGTTGGTTAAACGACTGCCTCCGGCTCAAGTCATGATCCTGGAGTCCCAGGATTGAGTCCCGCATTGGGCTCCCTGCTCAGCAGGGAGTCTGCTTCTCCCTCTGACCCTCCTCCCTCTCATGCTCTCTGTCTCTCATTCTCTCTCTCTCAAATAAATAAAAATAAAATCTTTAAAAAAAAGAAAAGAAAAGAAAAGAAAAAAAGAAAAGAAAAGAAAGTAGGTACAATATCATCAACCCCATTTTACAAACAAGAAAACCAATGACCAGAGTCGTGAAGTAATGGGCCAAAGCTCACGCAGCTTCCAAATGGCCGGGCTCAGATTTGGATTCAGGCAGTCTGGTACCAGAGCCCAAACATTTCTTTCTTTTTTTTTTTAAAGATTTATTTATTTGTTTTACAGAAAGAAAGCCCAAGCGCGTGCGTGTGAGTTCGGTGTGGGGAGAGGGAGAGGGGGAATCCTCAAGCAGACTCCCTGCTGAGCAGGGAGCCTGACATGAGACTCCATCCAAGGACCCCGAGACCATGACCTGAGCTGAAATCAAGAGTCGGCCCCTTAACCGACTGAGCCACCCAGGTGCCTCCCAAGCATTTTTTTTAAAAAAACCGACTGTATTACCTATCAACAGAGATTACGTCATGTAGTAGAAGAACACATTTCACAATAAAAAACAACAACAAAAACAAAAACAAAACCAAAAAGAAATGTTTCCAATTGAAGGCTGACTTGATAGCTCACAAGCAGCTAGGTACTGGCCTTTCACCATATTTGGACATGACTTCCCAGCACAGGGCTTGGCTGCAGAGGGATGAGAAGTCAGCCAGCAAAGGAAGGGGGAGGTACGATTTACACGCCACCTGTTTTCTGATCTTTTCGTCGACAAATCATTTCATCGCCTTTGGAAAAATTACTCTATGACCAGAGACGTCCTGAGAATGTGCTGCCAGGAGGGCATCCTGCTGTGCGAGCGAAGGTCAGGATGGCCCTCAGCCAGCCCGCAGGGTCAGGAGGGGCAGTGCCCCAATCCCAGGTCGGGTGGACCCGGGGACCAGGTCTGCAGTTCCTCGGTCTTCAAGAGATGGGGGTTACTGTGCTATTTGTAAGTTGCTCTGTGGTGTTATCAATCAAACTTCTCAGAAGCCACGCCAAAGCCGTGGAAACTCCAGGCTTACAGCTGGAGAGATGCCATGGTTAGACCAAGGAAGTCAGAAGTTCCTATTGACGAAGCCAAGTCAGAGCCGGCTGGCGAAAGGGAAGGTGTAAAGCACTCATGTGGATTCCATTTACAGACCAGAATTCCCTCGCTCAGAAGCACATCCCAATCTGTCAGGAATCCACAGGCCCGCTGGGGCTCCGGGCAGGCCGGGTCACTGAAGTGGATGAGAAACGGCTCGATGACAGGGATGCAAAATGCCTCCCTCACTCAGGTCCTCGTCAGGGGAAAGAGCCAAGGAGCCCGAGATGTGGCAAGAAATCAGAAGGCAGCAGAACCTCACAATCTGAATGACCCAGGGGGGGCAGGGGACAGGGAACGGGAAGGCCCAGGCAGGGCCAGGCCCCACAGCACTGAGACAGCAGACCCCTTCCTCAACTTCCTGTTGGGTATGAACCCCACCTGCCTTGTCCCCAAGTCTGAATTTAACCGGATCAATCACCACTGCCTATGACATGGCCATTGACCTTAACTTTCAGGCCTCTTCTTGCAGTGGGAAGGCCTTTGGCCCCAGGGACAGGGGCTGGGTGGGATGGTCCTCATGGGCAAGTGCGCGGCCCCTGGCCGTGAGTGAGGTGAGGGACCCGGCTCACAGGAGGAGCACGGGAATGGGGATGCGGAGCCCTGCAGGAGGAAATCCGAGGAGGGCAGTTTAAGTTCTAGTTTATTTATTTATTTATTTATTTTTAATTTTATTTATTTATCTGAGAGAGAGAATGAGATAGAGAGAGCATGAGAGGGGGGAGGGTCAGAGGGAGAAGCAGGCTCCCCGCTGAGCCAGGAGCCCGATGTGGGACTCGATCCAGGGACTCCAGGATCATGACCTGAGCCGAAGGCAGTCGCTTAACCAACTGAGCCACCCAGGCGCCCTTAAGTTCTAGTTTTAAAAAACACTCCACATCTTCTTGCTTCACTGTCCCGAAGCACAGGGCCCTTACCTAAGGCATGTACGCTTCACCCCCTGCCCACCCTTCTTCCTACCTCAAACTACTCCATAACTATCTCTGCCCTGAGGTGTTTGGGATCCTCAAAAAAGGACACAAACACGTTTTAGTGTGTGTGTGTGTATTGCATAGTTTGCTAGATCTGCCATCACAACATAGACTGGGCGGCCTACACAACAGCAGTGTATTTTCTCACAGTTCTGGAGGCTGGAAGCCCAAGATTGTGGTGCCAGCCGTGCGGGGTTCTCCCTCCTTGACTTGCAGACGGCTGCGTCTCATCGTGTCCTCCTGGGCGCTTCCCTCTGTGCGTGTCCGTGGGAGTCCGTTTGCGTTGCTATAACGAAAGATCAGAAACCAGGTGGCGTGTAAATAGCAGACCTGTATTGCTCACAGTGCCGGAGGCCGGAAGTCCCAGATGAAGACACCAGCAGATTTGGTGCCTGGTGAGGGCCCACCTCCTGGTTCTCCATGTCCTCACACGGTGGAAGGAGTGAGGGAGCTCTCTGGGGTCTCTCTCATAAGGGCACCAATCCTATTCCTGACGGTTCCATGACCTAATCACTTCCCAAAGGCCCGACCTCCTAACAGCAACACCTTGGGGGTTAGGATTTAACCTATTCTGGGGGGCCACAAACATTCAATCCATAGCAGTGTCTGTGTCCTAATCTCTTCTTATAAGGACGCCAGTCTAACCCATATGACCTGATTTTACCTAAATCACCTCTTTAGTTTTTTTAAAGATTTATTGATTGATTTTATTTTATTAAAGATTTTATTTATTCATTTGAAAGAGAGAGAGAACAAATTGGGGGAGGGGCAGAGAAAGAAGCAGACTCCTCGAGGAACTGGAGCCTGACTTGGGACTCAATCCTAGGACCCTGAGATCATGACCTGAGCTAAATAGGCAGATGTTTAACCAACTGAGGCACCCACATGCCCTATTTATTCATTTGAGAGAGAGAGCATACACACACGCACACGAATGAGCATGGGTCAGGGGGCGGGGAGAGCGGGGGCAGAGGAGAGGGAGAGAGAGAATTCTCAAGCAGACTCCCCGCTAAGCACAGAGCCCCAGGCGGGGCTCAATCCCAGGACCCTGAGATCATGACCTGAGCCAAAATCAAGAGTCTGACGCTTAACCAACTGAGCCACCCAGGCGCCCCTAAGTCACTTCTTTAAAAGTCTATCTCCAAAGACAATTGCATCCTGAGGGACTGGGGGTTAGGGCATCACCATATGAATCTGGGGGTGAGGGACACAATCCAGCCCATAACGGTAGGTAAGGACCTGGGAGGCTCTGCTGCACACGGCATTAGCACAAGTCCGATCAATAATGCTTTGTTTCACTTACTGGAAATAGCTCAGTTTTTAACAAGGGAGGTAGAGAAACAGCATTGTTTTGTTATCTTCATTTCTACTCTCACTGATTGTAAATGAAAACAACACCTACAGTAGTTCAAATCTCAGAATTTGTTAGCTATATTTTCTCCTAGATTTTTTTTTAATACTTTGGCTCTATGATCCATCCCCAAAGCAAGGCAGATATCAAAAAACAACCCCGCAGGTTACCATCACCTACAGTAAGGAGCAAGGTGGCGAGCAAGGGCCGCCATGGGCATGGTTGACCGCCATCATCCAGAATCCCACCACGAAGGAAAGACTCATGGTCACATGTGCTGTATTCCCTTCTTCCTGTTGTTCCATCCACTAGTATTTCACATTGTTGAGAGCATCCTTTATATTGAAATCAGAGTCTTGCCTTTTTCTGTTACATTTTATCATACACTTTTCCAAACATCATTAAAAAGGATCCATTGATGGGGCACCTGGGTGGCTCAGTGGCTGAGGCGTCTGACTCTTGATCTCACTCAGCTCAGGTCTTAATCTCAGGGTCGTGAGTCCAAGCCCCACAGTGGGCTCTGTGCTGGGTGTGGAGCCTACTTAAAAAAATTTTTAGGGGCACCTGGGTGGCTCAGTCAGTTAAGCATCTGCCTTTCGCTCAGGTCAATCCCAGAGTCCTGGGTTCAAGCCCCACGTCAGGCTCCCCACTCAGCAGGGAGTCTGCTTCTCCCTCTCCTTTTGCCCCTCCTTCTGCTCGTGCTCACACGTGCTCTCTCTCAAATAAATAAATAAAAATTTAAAAATTTTAAATAATAATAATAAAGGATCCGTTGACATGTTGAATGATTGCATAATATTGCATGATGTTTCAGGCCACAGTAGACTCAACCATTTCCAGTCATTGGACATTTAGGTTGTTTCCAGTTTTTAACAATTACAAATAATGCTGACAAACATCTTTGGCATACACGCTTGCCTGCATTTCTGATAATTTCTCTCGGCTACGTTCCTACAACATGGACACGTTTGCCTTCAAGGCTGTCTTTCCAAGCCTGTCTTTCCAAGCCTGTGACTTCATGGGTCAGGGAAGAACTCGTTGGGGCTTCCCCTGATGCTAATCCAACATTTGGTCCTACGTTCCTACCAGGGGTACCTTCACCCTCTGCCCACATTTCCACCCAAGCACAATTAGGACTCCCCGTAATTACAGGATGCTGAGATAGATACAGGGCATCAAAAGGCAAAACAGCTGCTAGTAGGGAAAAGGTGAGGAGGGGCACAGAAATGCTGGCATTTACCAAGCGCTTTTCCTCCAAAGGGCTCAAAGGTTTCCAGAGATATGGTCTCATTAATCTTCACGGGTCTGTGATTTTTCTTTCTGATAGAGACCCAAACAGAAACTGTATTTGTTGGTGTGTATTTGTGCATTCGCTATGCTCCTGCTTTCTTGATGTTCCCTAAAATGGCTTTTATATTTGGGACTTCTGATTTGTGCAGAGGACAAAAAGTCCCAAACTGAGTCTATTTATCTCTTACCCTTAAAACTCATGGGAGGAAAGGAGGAAGGACAGTTAGTCACATTTTAAGAATGAACAGAGACGCTAAGTAACCCAGCACAGGGTGTCCCCACCAAAGTGGTGGTTCAGGGCAGAAGCCCTAATTGAAAGCTGCACACCAAGCAGGTTTCTTTCTTTCAAAGTTGCTTGCTTTCACCTTTTTGCAAAAATACATTTTTGAAAGGAACTGTGATAGAGTAATGGCTCCCCCAAAGATGTTCACACCCTTTCGTCAAAACCTATCAGTAAATTACCTCACAAAGGGATAGACCTTGCTGATATGATTACATTAGGGATCTTGAGATGGATTATTAGGTATAATCACAAGGATCCCTAGAAGAAGGAGGCAAAGGATACCACCAAGAGAGTGAAAAGACAACCCAAGAATGAGAAAAAATATCTGCAAATCAAATGTCTGATAAGGGATTAATATGCAGAATATGTAAAGAACTCTTACAACTCAACAACAAAAAGACAAACCACTCAATTAGTGCATGGGCAAAGGACTTGAACAGACATTTCTCCAAAGAAGATATACAGATGTCCAACAAGCACATGAAAGGATGCATCCAATCCCTCGTCATTAGGGAAACACACGACCACAAGGAGATACCATTTCACACCCACTAGGATAACTGGAATCAAAAAGACAGACAACCAAGCATTAGCAAGGGTGTGGAGCAATTGGAACCCCTGTACATTGCTGGTAAAGTGATGTAGCTACTTAGGGAAAACAATTTGGCAGCTCCTCAAAAATCTAAACATAGGGGCGCCTGGCTGGTTCAGCCTATAGAGCATGCGGCTGTTGATCTCAGCATCCTGAGTTCAAGCCCCATGTTGGATGTGGAGCTTACTTAAAAAAAAAAAAAGTAAATATAGAATTTTCACATAATCCCAGAATTCCACTCCTAGGTATACACCCCAAAGAATAAAAAACAGGAACTTAAATAGATAACTTGTACTCCAGTATTCATAGCGGCATTATTCACAATAGCCAAAGACAGAAATAGCCCAAAGTCCATCAACAGATGAACAGATAAACAAATGTGGTATGAATATATATGCAAATATGTATACATAATGGAATATCATTCAGCGATAAAAGGAATGAAGTTCTAGAACATGCTACAAGTTGGATGACCCTTGAAGACCTTGTGCTAGGTAAAATTACCAAACACAAAGGACAAATACTGCAGGACTCCATCTACATGGAATATTTAGAATGGCAAATTCATAGATGCTGCAAGCGGATTTGCAGTCAGCATCAGCCAGGGGAGGAGGGAGTGGGGGTTATTTCCTAACGGGTACAGAGTTTCCACTTGGGTAGTGAAGGGTTTTACAAATCGAGATGGCCGCACTACCTTGGGAATGTAATTCATGTCGCTGAATTGTACACTTGAAAAATTGGTTAAATGCCGGTTTTGTGTTATATATATTAAATGACAATGGAGATGAAGAGGGAGGCAAGAGGGCCAAGGTCAGAAAAAAGAGACATGAGGACAGAAGCCGAGACTGGAACAATGAACATGCTTTGTGATGGAGGAAGGGGCCAGGAGCCAAGGAATGTGGGCAGCCTCGAGAAGCAGAAAGAGCTAAGAAAACAGATTCTCCTCTGGAGCTTCCAGAAGGAAAGCAGCCCTGCCTAGACATCTGGATTTCAGCCCCCTAAGACTCCTTTTGGACTTAGACCTCCAGGACTATAAGATAATAAATCTGTGTTTTTTAAGCCGCCAGGTTTGAGATGATTTGTTACAGCAGCAATAAGAAAAATATGCATGAGGGCACCTGGGTGGCTCAGTCGTTAAGTGTCTGCCTTCGGCTCAGGTCATGATCCTGGGGACCTGGGATCGAGCCCCACATTGGGCTCCCTGCTCCACGGGAAGCCTGCTTCTCCCTCTCCCACTCCCTCTGCTTGTGTTCCTGCTCTCGCTATCTCTCCCTCTCTGTCACATAAATAAATAAAAAATCTTTAAAAAAAAAAAAAGAAAAAATGCACAGACGTAAAACCTTATTCCTGTATTATCATTCACGAACCAAAATACACTAATTCACTTTGTAGTTGACCCACATGACTTTTTTAAAAAAAAATTTATTTATTTATTTATTTGAGAGAGAGCATGAGCAGGGGGTTGGGGGGCAGAGGGAGAGGGAGAAGCAGACTCCCCGCTGAGCAGAGACACCAATGTGGGACTCGATCCCAGGACCCTGGGATCATGCCCTGAGCCAAAGGCAGATGCTTAACCGACTGAGCCACCCAGGCGCCCCTATCCACATGACTTTTAAAGTTCCTCAGCAAACAGCACTAGAGTTGGGTCCAGTGCCGACAGCCAGAAGGAGGGGCCACTCTGTGCTTAACCAGCATGTTATCAGTCAGTGGTGTTCTCTTATGAAAAGGTAGGCTGTGGAATGGATTCAGTTAATGATATCCCAGAGAAAA